GTCCCCACTACTCTTTCTTCTGTGGGTCTGGACATCTTATTCCCAAAGGAAGCAACACTCCCACCTGGAGACACAATACTGATTGCACTGAATTGGAAATTAAGAATGCCACCTGGTCATTTTGGCTTCCTCATGCCTCTGGATCAACAGACAAAGAAGGGCATTACTGTACTACTATCTGGTGTGACAGATCCTGATTACCAATGGGAAATTGGATTGACATTACATAATGGAGGTGAAGAATATGTCTGGAATACAGGAGATTCTTTAGGATGTCTCTTAGTACTATCATGCCCTGTGATTAAAGTCAATGGAAAATTATAGCAACCCAATTCTGATACAACTGCTAATGGTCTAGACCCTTCAGGAATGAAAGGCTACTTGCGCACGGTGTTCCTAGTAGTGAAATACATGGCAAACCTACTAAATATTTACTTGATCTGTATATACCTGTATCTGCTATATGCCAGAAGAATTCTAGGTCACATGAACAGCAGCCTAGATTGAATCGCCAGAATACAGAGTCATGGCCTCTCAATCAACTCCCAGACTTGAGTCAGTTAACAGACCCAAAACCCCTTGAATGAAGGGGAGGCAAAGAACCAGGCAAAGAACCACGACCAGCTGAGGTGCTTGCTGAGGGCAAGGGGAATACAGAACGAGTGGTGGAAGAAGATAGTACTGAGTATCAGCTACGATCACGTGACCAGTTGCAGAAATGAGGACTGTGATTGTTATATTTCTTCATTGTGTATGTGCATCAAACATTTTTGTTTCCTTCTGTTATGAACTGTGAAATGTAAATAAGGTTAATGCATTCCGGTTGTATGTGTATTAATGTATCAGGTTAGGTGCAAATATGACTTTATAATTGTCCTTATTTAGAGATTATATATGGTTAAGAAGATGTGCACAACTTACAAGTTGACAAGGGGTAGACTGTGATAGCTGGAGCTGTGTCAACTTGGCTGAACCATCATTCTGTGTGGTTTAAGCAATTGTGATGTGGTTATTCTCTTGATGGGCTTAGATGTATATGTTCTGAGCAGCCAATCTGTTGAAAGGAATTTCCTTAGGGGTGTGGCCTGCTTCCAGTATATTTATGGACATCCTGGGAGAAGAGAGACTCTTCTGTGGCTTGGGATTCTGTTGTACTGCCTACAACTGTCCATGAGCAAACAGTCCACCATTTGGCCTGGAGATCTTGGATTCATCATTTGTTGGAGCCAAAAGCCAGTGTACTGCCTGCCAACCTTGAGCTCCTCAGACCCTGCAGCTGCTTGAGTCGGGAAAAGCCTCCAGCTTGATGTCTGATCTAAGAACTTTGGACTTGCCAGCTTCTGTAAGTGTGTGAGCCATTTTCCTAACACAAATTTCCCTTTCTCTCTATATATAAGCTTTACTGGTTTTGTTTCTCTGGAGAACCCAGTCTAACACAGACATTAATTGTTTAGGGACACATGTTGAGGACCACTGGTCTCAAGTACGGCTTCTCTAAGTAGATGATCAAGATGACGTGGAAGAAAGTATCTTTGGAGTTAAGATCAGGCAATGGGAAACCAGGCTGTTCAAAGGATCATTACGCTAAGGCCCTAAGGAGGATGATGGGAGTGACTAGAAGGGAAAGAGTAGCTACAAGAGGAGCTAGAATTTTTGTAGAAAGAAAGAAGACAAGCATTTAGAAAATGGCAATGAGTAGCAAGGAGAAAATCTACCCTACCCCATCCCATGGCTCGGAAGTTTTAGGGTATGGGAAAAAAGTTTACACTTAAAAAGAACAGGAAAATCCACAATGAGAATCTTTCAAAGGACAACTGGCCTGAATGAGAGACTAAAGAAATGTAACAAGCAAATATAGTGGGTAAAGTTTGGATTCTAGGTTAAAAAAAAAAAACTATAAAAACATTTTTGAGCCAATTGGGGCAATCAGAATGTGGAGTCTACATGAGAATTCCATTAGAAGTATTATTAGAATTATAAATAGCATTACTATTAATATTTTAGGTATGACCAATTGTTATGTAGGAAAAAGTACTTATAGTTAGGAGTTTCAGTCTGAAGTACTTTGGGATAAAGTATTATATTTGCAATTACTTTCAAATGGTTCCATTAAAAAAAAAAAAAATGTGTGTGTAGTCTTCAGAGATGGTCTCCAGTGAACCATCTGAGCCTACTGACATTCACTTTCTTGGATAGTTCCTGTCATAATCAATCTGGGCAGACCCTGTGAGTGAGTCAGCCAATAAAACCTAGTAGAATTGATTCTGTGCCAGTTTGAGTCTAAACATTAAGAAGGACTGGCAGCCTCCCTTTTGTGCTTTTGGGAACCATGAGTTGTAATATAAGAGGCTTGGGTACTCTACTGAAGTGACATCATAGAGAGATCATATGGACAGGCCCTACGAAGAGGGAGAGGCCTTGAGATTACGTGGAAAGAGAGAAGAGAAGACAATGAATAGGTGTGTGTGTTTGTGTGTGTGTGTATGTAGGAGAAAGAAGGTAGGGGAGGAAAAAGAAGGGACAGAGAAGGCATATCCAGCCACCTGAGCTGACACTTCTAATCAAATTCCAACAAGGTGAGTCATCTTTAACAGCGTAATGCAGTCAAAGCCCAACCAACATCCCATGGAGCAGTAGAATCACAAGCTAAGACCAGTCAAATTCACAGAACTGTTCTTGCTTTAAGGCACTAATTCTGGGATAATTGCTGAACAGCTACACACATACACATTCATAGGGAGGGAAAGAAAGCAAACAAAACAAAATGGTAATAACTGATGAATCTAGGTGAAGGATATAGAAAGTGCTTATTGTTTTTATCTTAAACTTCTCTCTAAAGTTTTTCAAAATAAAAAACCTGAGGATTTTATCATATTTCATCATTCTTTAGAATTACTGTTAATTTTTTAAGGTATGATAATAGACTTGATATTTAAAAAAAGAAAGCTATTATCTTTCAGAGATACTGAAACCCTCACAGATTAAATGATTTGGGATTTACTTCCAAGTAATTCAGAGAACAGGGTAGAGAAGTGAGTTGGGGTATAGATGAAACAAGACAATCTTTTTTGTTGATAACTATTGAAACTGGATGCTGGGTACAAGGAAGGAAGGCTCATTATACTAGTATTTTACTTTTGGTTTTGCTTGTTATCTTCCATAAGTAAAAAAAAAAAAAAAAGTAGCAAAAGTAATGTTTTTAGATTTTAATTATAGTAAGAAGGTGAATGAAATGGAGGGACTGAAGAACAGAAAATACAACGATGGCAAGCATTCAACTGGAGAAGATGGCAGCTAGAGAAAAGGCTCTTATATAAGGACATAAAACCCATTGTTGTTGAGTTGATTCCAATTCCAGTGACCCTCTAGGACAGATCAGAACTGCTGCATAGGATTTTCAAGGCTGTAAATCTTTACAGAAGCAGACTGCCTCGTAATTCTCCCACAGAGAAGCCGGTGGGTTTGAACTGCCAACTTTTTGGTTAGCAGTTGCATACTTTAACTATTGCAACACCAGAGTTTCCCAAAAGGACATAAAGCATTTAATAAGTAAGTCTGCCCTCCCCAAAGGTGGTATAGTTGTGATTTATGATTTTTATAACCTCAATTTATCTTCCATTGGCACATATAATCTAGAACTGAATACAAAAATAACTTTATAAAACTGTTTACAAAAGAATAATAATTAAATCATTAAAATTTATCATCTGCATAGCACTGTGTATCACATATATGTAAATTATCTAATATTCTTCTCATAACTTTCTGAAGTATGCCTGGAATGTCTCCAAACAGAAATAAGATAAATGAAAAGCAGCGAAGTTAAATGATCTAATTAAAAATTCACAAGTAGTAAGTGGTATAGCCAAGACTAGATCACTTAGTTTAGAAGTCTTTCAACCATTATCAAGGGATGACTCCAGAGGAGGATGGAATACCTGAATTATTTATATATTAAAACTTGGTACAAGTTCAGATATAGAAAAATGAAGAAAGAATTATACACATTTCTGAGATGGTACTTGTAAGAGAAAAGTGACCATAACTCGTCACAAGCATTTATTAAATGCACGTAAGATGTTAACTTTTCTTCAGATGTATACTTAAAGGAATATGGCATACTATACCACTAGGCTCTGGGTATAAACCAAAATGTTTACCTCTCATTTCTTAAACTGTTAAAAATAAAGCATGAATTGACAACAGCCACTGGAAAGATTAGACAGGAAACAGAGAGCAGTGAGTTGTTAACAGGGGAGGAACAGCTCAGAAAAGGAGGGTGAGAATGGCTGCACAACTTGAAGAATGAAATCAATGCCACTGAACTGTACACGCAGAAGTTTTTGAGTTGACACATGTTCAGCTGTGTATATCCTTAACAACAAGAAAAAAATGACTGATTTCAGAAAAAGAAAAAATAAAGCAAGCATGAAAATATGACTAGTGCTGATATATGACACCCATCTGTCAGTTTGTTACTGTGGTAGCTTGGTGTTGATATGATGCCGCAAGCTATGGTACCGGTATTTCAATTACCAGCAGGGTCACCTATGATGGACAGGTATCAGTAGAGTTTCCTAAGACAGACTAGAAAGAAAGGCCTGGAGAACTATTTCTGAAAATTAGTCAATGAAACTTTATGGATCACAACAGAATACTGTCCGGCTTGCTTGCTTTGGACACATCAATAGGAAGAATCTGGAGGAGGGCATCGTGGTGATGCAGAGGACCAGCAAGAGTGAGGGAGATCTTTGGCATGGACTGGGATAATAATTGCAATAATGGGCTGGACCATGTCAGTGATCATGAGGATGACACAAGACTGGGTGAAATTTGTGTTGTACGTTAGGTCAACGTGAATTGGAGGTGACTCAAAGGCATCTTTTCTATTTCTAGCATGTAGATCCATATTGCTTCCTATTATTTAGAAGCCAATTGTCACAATAAAGCTTAGGACCATAGTAACATTTTGTTTAAAAGATGTTTATCTTTAAACCTACCTGGCTCTGTGATGGCTTTGGGTTTCTCGGTTTCCATAGGTTCTGGGTTTTCAGGCATTTCTTGAATATCATCCTCTGCAAATCCAGTATCTGGGCTGCTGGTTGGTTTATCATCATCTTCATGACTCAGAGATGGTGAAGATTCCCTCTTACTTATCTCTAAGACAGCTGCTACTACCTCTTCTTCACTCATTCCCTCAAATCCTGAGTTTTCCAATTCGGACTTATCAGGCTCAATTCTGCACAATTTTGAACCCTAAAAAAGATAGCTACTTTAGAGGAAACCAGAATGGTTACAAATATAACAATCTTTGTTAGAGTTAAAATGGATGTTTATTTCTAAAAAGTTTTCTTTCTTTAATGCTTTGGGTTATTTAACAATCATTGGTAAATGTGATTTTTAAAAATAATTCCTACATAAGGATACATACTTATTTTTGTTGACAATAAATATTAAGTAGGCTCTCTGGAGAAAATCTGGAAATTACATAAAAGTAAAAAAATAAGTCCACCTCAAATCCAATCACTCAGAGGTAATCACTGTCAGTATTTCTGGTGCATTTTCTTCTGGATACACGTGGATTATACTGTAAATATTCTGTTGTTACACATAGTATTTTATTTTAAATGTCAACAGGTCTTACTCACAAAAAAATAAATCAGAAAAATAAAAACTACATCAAGATGATGTAAATATTTATAAGACATTTTTCGAATATTTTTACTTTCTGAATCTTTCACCCATTTCTGGGAACATTTTTGACTTTCTCTCATTTCTCATTCAAAGTGAGCATATCTCTCATTGGCAACCACAAATAGCCTCTAGCTTTAAAGTAAGATGGGAAACAAGTCAGAATAGAAAAGAACTACCAAAAAAAAAAAAAACTTTATCTTTCCCAAAGGGAGGCTTAAAATAAAACACAGCCCCATGAAGTCATGCAAACTCCTAAAAGAGCTTAGACCTTCAAGGTGTTAACCATCACTAAGAGTCAAGAAAGAAGGTGATATAACTATGCCTTCACATCTATATATTTAAAACCTTGGATTACTAGGTCTGTTCGTGTAAAATATTTGCTATGGTTTCTCCACATAAACAATTCATACCAAAATAAAGCAAGTAATTATTTGAGGTCCAAAATGCAGAGGATGCTCTCACAGTTAATAAGAGAAAATAATGTGTCAGGAACAACTTGCATTTCTTAAAAGCCTAGGTTCATCTGCAAACAACTTTTTTTTTGGTAGCTAGAAAAAGCCTTTAAGCCTAGTGAAGATATCCATTAAGTTTATGATCTACCTTGGGTATTTATTAAATTTGTTGATGCTGGTTATAAAGGGCATTTATTTGGATATTAAGAGCTGCTTAAATCTTTGTCAGATGTTTTGATGAGAAAGTGCTTACTTTTTCCAGGTCTTCCTGCTGCTGCTCTCTGCCTGACACTTCACAAAGTTTCTGGCTGAGGGTCACAGAACGTTTTAGTTCATCTTCACTGTCTGAATCAAGGCATAAAGCCAGGGAGCTCTTGGATTTGAAGGTAAATTTCCTGCAATTTAAGGGGGAAAAAAATCTATATAAGTCTGATAAAAAGCATTTGTTCTTGTTATTTTTTTGATGTGTAAATACCGAAACAAAACAAAAACATTTTCCATTATGGAAAAAGATTTAACAGAGGAAAAAGATATATCAAAAGGGGTATAACTAAGCATTATCTTTGCCCCACTCCAAAAAAGCCATGCTTTGGAAACTGGACAGCTCTTATGCTATTATGTATCATCAGTAAACCAATCACTTTGTGCCTTTTTTCTTTCAATGATCAAACCCCATGAAGTTTGCTATTGTCTTTAGAAGGCAAGTATTCTACTGAATTCATGCAGACATAGCAATGAATAAATGTTTTTGGCAATAAAGTGCATAAGACTAATTTTTAAACCTTTTAAATTATGATCCATGCACTTTTAAAATAACAGTAACATTCCACTTATCCACTTATTTATAGGTCAGATTTCTGGTAACCTCTACCTTCCAGAACACAGGGATTCCAAAACAAGAAAGAAAACCTTCTGAGGAAGCCCATGCACTTAACTTTTTAGATAGAGACCCTTTTATTCCCAAGAAATCATGTATAAAATAATGTAGCAAGTTCATCAACAAATGAGAGCTAAGAAATAGGAGAGAATAACCACAAAAAAGGGCAAAAATAACTATGAAGTCATTTAATATAAAGGTAAACTGCCTTGTAAGAATTAAGAGCCTCTGAAGGCATTACATTAAAATAGTATAATAACTGATACTCATAATGCTAATTTTCTAAGTCATTAAGATATATAAATTATTTTCAGTGTTATTTAAGACTATAAAGAATGATATAGTATCTTAGTAATTTTTAAAATCTAAAATGGTTACAATTTTTTGAAGATGTAATCCTTAAAAGGCAAGCTTCAGTTCATGAAAATTCACTTATGTGGAAAACCAAAGATCATTCTTTAATGATTCCAGATAAGTAAGGTGTTACTGTGTTTTCTTGTAAGTAAGCTCAAAATAAACCAAAAGAAAAAGTGGAAAAAGTCAAAGAGCAAGAACTTCCTTTGATGGAGGTAAGATAAATTCATATACTATACTAGTAAAATCAATGTAAAATGGAAATTGGAAAAATGTAATTAATTTAAATGTGAAAACTGTAAATAAACATATAGAATGATGGCATCAAGAAATAAGAGGCTGCAATGGAAATCAGGAGGATTGCATAGCAATGTAGATCAAAGAAAAGAGGCAAGCAGTCAGTGATCAAGCCCAAACTTAGTCTGTGGCTGAGAGCAGCCAGGATATCACTGCACTCTAGCCTGAATACTTGAATAGCCTCCCATGATATGTTCAAAACTTAGGAAAAGCCAATTAGCCAGCTTAATGCTTCCTTTTTTTTTTTTTTTTTTCTGATTTCATGCTTATCAACCAAACCTTAACATATTAATTATTTATCTAGGTATACATTTTGCTGAAGGAAGATGACACCTGGCTACTATTGTACCAGGGTCAAATGTGACAAAGGACAATGGAGAAGATCAATGGTATTCTGGTTCATAACTCAGCCTCTTTTAAGTTTGATCGGCATGACAGGTCTTCTAGGGCCTAATCATCCTTTACTGATCAACTCTCAAATTCTCATACCAATAGACCCTGAGAACAGATGACCATGCCAAGGTACAATGATGCCCAATGAAACCATCTCTTTCTTGCAACTACAGTGATTTGGTACATAAAGAGTGCATTCCATTAATAATTACTATATTCACAGAAGGCAGCTTGCCTGTAGCAATGAAAAATATTCATCCTGTAAATGCATCACTTGCTCACTTTCTAAGCAGCCAAGTGGTATTGCTCATTTGTATCTTGAGAACGGGTAAGAGTATTCATATCGGTACCATTTCAGATTTCTAGTCATGTTAGTCATCTGGTTTTAATTGCACTGAAAAATAATTAACAGGAGGAAAAGAAAATAGCAGTTCCCAAATGTCATTTTATAGTTATATAAATCCCCCCCAAAAGCCCTTAAACAACAAAAATGTCTCTTTTCCAAAAGAACTTTGGGACATCAATATTTAGAAAACCTAATTTTAAAGACAAATGACAAGTCATTTAGAATTGTTTAATCAGGAACTGTGGTTCTAGTGAAATCTTAGAGGAGGTATAGTAAAAAAAATTTGCTTCCCTCCTTAGACAAACTCGGTCTTAAACAAAAAATACAAAACATTTACAGAGTAGCTACATTCCAGAGTGTGTTTACTGTCCTGTCCCCTTTCAGAATGCCTCCAATTCAGAGTCTAAGTCAAAAAGCCCCAGACTGGCTAACAAACAGCTGACAAGATGTTTTGGGTCTACATGGCTACCTTTGAAGAAGGATGTTTTATACCCACTGGGTTTCTTTCACCTCTTTAATCTTTAAGATCTCTTGTCATCAGCCACTTTTTAGAGTTTCAAGATGGAAATATTATATATTACCAAATGATAAGTTCTAAGAAATTTTACAACAGAATTTTGAGATGATCATTTGAACTCGCTTCATTGTAAAAACTTGTTATATACTAAGCTACAGTCTAAACTAGATTCAGGAGAATTCCAAAGTATGAGTAATACAGAGAAGTTATCATGCAAAAAAGAGAAATAAGGAAAAAGAAGAGAAACAATCTTGGAGATTAGGGTAAGCCAAATCCTTAAAAATACAAATTTTGGGTACGTAAGAAATATAACTCACTTTGAAGGTGTAGAAGGGCTGGTGAGGCAGGAATTCACCATTTGAGAGGCTTTCAATGGTCTAGAACTACTAGAAAATTAAAAAATATATAATGTATACAATTATTACAAAAAATATATTTATAAACTAAATCACTCTACCATAATCCCTAATGTACCTTCTTAAAAAAACAGCAATTTTAATACTTACAAAATTACTAGTATTAGAGGCCTAAAGAGAAAAGAAAATACCATTTCTAGGCTCTCCCTGACTCAAAAATCTAAAGAGCATTGGAAACAAAGTAAAATGTTATGCATATGAATATAACAGTTTGAGAAAAATTACGTTGCCATATTTATTGCAATATAATAGCTCTCATTTATTGAGGACTTACCAGATGACAGGGATTGCTCCAAGAACACTACACATATTATGTCATTTAATGCTCACAATCACCCTTTTATTTTCCCCACAGACACAAAAGGAATTTGTCTAAGGTCTTATAGCTATTAAGTGGTAGAGTTAGGATTTGAATTCAGACAGACTCAACACTAGTATAGTACTGTTACCAGAAAGAGTTAGTATCTCTACCAGAAGAGGGCAGTTTTGCATCAAGTGAAAAAAATCCACTCCAAAGAAAGACCTTAAAAGAAAAACTAGAAATACTCTTGACTCTCTGGCCTGTATTAATAGACCCAGGGAGAACTTCAGTGTAAGCTTTTATGATGTAGTAGTATATATTTCAATCGTAAACCCTAATGGAAATACATTTTACAAAATTGCATCAATTAATTGTGGCAAATGTTCATTCACTTCCTGAAATGTCTATTATCCCACCTTAGCCACGAGACCTGCCTCTGCCGGTTATTAGCTGTGTGACTTTAGGAAAATCACCTAACCTCTGTAAAATTAGGGATTTGGACAAAATCTCTAAAGTCTCTTTTACCTAGGAGCCACTCAAGTTCTTCATATTGATAATAATACATCTATGAAGGTACAATCTATTTCTGGTGCTCCAGAATAATATTTAGTAGTGTTTCTCAAATCTGCATGTTCCTAAGTCAGCAGAGGCATTTGTTAAAAATGCTGATTCTTAACCTCCACCTTAATGAGCCCTGGTGGCACAGTGGTTAAAGCATCAAGCTGTTAACCAATAAGTCAGTGGTTTAAACCCACCAGGTGCTCTGTGGGAGAAAGATAAGATATCTGCCTTCATAAATATTTATAGCCTTGTCTACTCCATCCTACAGGGTTGCTATGAGTCGGAACTGACTCAATGGCAGTGGATTGGGTTTTAGTGAGCTATACCTCAAATTTACTGAAACAGATTATTAGGGAAAGAACCCAAGAATCAGTATTTGTAGTGTCCAGGTGATTCTTATGATCATGCACATGTGCTTTATACTCCCACAGTGTATCAAACTGTCTTCTAAAGGAGTAAAAAACACTCCCTACTACTTCCTTATGAAAGGCAATCACCATACCGGGAAGAACTCCGTTTAAGCTTTTTTTTTTTTTTGGTAAACTAATGCACAGCAAAGTAATTTAACATTAAGACTCCAAAATTAAGTGAAATGAAATCCCCTTCCTGGTCTGATTTTTGCCTTAAAGTCACGTTATCTGGTTCATTCTTTTGATCAGATACTAAAGCTTTTCTATTTCAAAAGGGAAAGTAAAGAAATTCTCTCAAAGGACTTACACTGCCATATGTGCACTCCAACCAAGGGTAAAGGGTGGTTTTGTATTTTCAGTGCAGTGAGAAGATAGGGTCAGGTATCTTGGAATGATGACTTGCTGTCCAATCTTATTGTTAAGTGAGAGAGCCACGTTAAAGCTATATCGTTTCAAATGAAGAATAAGGATCCTGAAAAACAGATGATATTACTAATTCAATAGAGTCAGCTCTCTTACAGATCAAGAGCTCACTCTAACCATATCAGACAACTTTTGATGTAAAGAATGTATCTGGCCAAACTAAAGACTTTCAAACAACATTTACTGAACACTTGCCAGGAACTGTGCTAGGTACTAGGCATGCAAACGTAAATAAAACATAGGCACAGTCCTGGGTAAGTTAATAAGGTTTGGATAAAATACTTTAAAGTTCCTAGAAAACAAAACACCAAATAAAACATATCAGACAAGAATGCTAACATTTTTCAATGTTGATTTTGATATTAGACTAAATCTTTAAAAAATAATTAAAAAAAAAAAAAAGATGTTATATACCCACTAATGGTAAAATACTATCTCTTAGTTAATGTTATATACTCCTTATGTTTGGTGGTGGACATTACATGTTTCAGTATGATTTCTGACAAGAATTTTTCTCATTTCAGTAGCACTTTCTCTGGATAAAGCTAAGAGAGAAAGAGGAAAATTTTCCCCACCTAGAAAATTATTGTATAAGAATTTGCATGCCAAATCTGAAAAGGCTTTTAGCTCTTTAGAAACACTTAATTCTCTTTGGTTACTATTATAGTAGGTAACCTTTTCACCTCTGTACAGGACACAATCTGTGCCTGGTAGACCAAGTGTATTTCACAACCCACAGGAACACTTTAAAAAATGAAATTTTAAAATTATTATGGGAATAAACCTCAGTTCTAGGTACACACACACACACACAAAATATGATTTATGGAAAATTATTTCCTTTCTTACCATAAATATCTTCATCACAGAAATCAAACTCAAAATACTGCAAAGTGCAGTTATTGATTGTACGTCTTTTAAAAAACTATGCTAGAATTCACAGCCAGCAAATTGACGGCAACTTGAGAGAACACATGGATCCAAATGATGTGAAGACACTAAAACAAACATCTAATACTGTGACTAAAATTTCATAAAATCCTAACTCAAAAATCACTGATCTGTAAAAGATGAGGGAGACTACAAGTGAACATACTTGGTAAGACACCAGGCCCTTCAAGAATAAAGTAGACTGGTTTTTGGTGTTAAAATGAACAGAAATGAAGCAAGTATAATTTCAGATTTAAGATATAGAAGCTTCTATTTAAGTTTGGAATAAATTTACTTTTAACACAGGCAACCTATCAGAAGAAAAAGAAAACCAGACAGAAAAATTTCCCTCAGCAATTTTTTCCCCCACTTGAAACACCAGCTTGGTAGAGAATGGGAAATGGGAAGAGACAGCCAGCTTGCCAGGCCAAACAATTCTCTGTAATTGTACATTGGTTTCTTTAGTCAATGGCAGGTGGTAACAACCAACCTTTTGCCATAAGATTTCTTCTCCCTACCCTTCTACTTCAAAACAGTCCTGTAACACTCACAAGTAGGAAAGAACAAAGCACGTGAAGTCAAAGACATAAATACGGTCAACACAGTAATACTGGTAATATTTAGAAAAGTCATTCTTTAAAACAATTCACTTTCTAGGAAGGAGTAGATTATGAAATATAAATGAACTAGTCTCTAGGGCCTAGGTTCCAGAAACTCCACATTCACAGAAAACTGAAGCTAGTAGAAGAAAGTAAAGCCCTCTGCAGGTAAAGTGAGATATAAATGTTGTTGTTGTTGTTATGTGCTGTTGAGTCGGACCCGACTCATAGCAACCCCTCCTTGGGTTTCCGAGGCAGTATCACTACAGAAGTAGATTGCCCCATCTTCCTTCTGAGGAGTGGCTGGTGGGTTTGAACCTCCAGCCTTCTGATTAGCAGTCAAGTGCCTTAGGCACTACACTACCAGAGCATATCTTAATTAACATTAAGATATAAATACTTAATGTTAATAACTTTATTCGTGGTTGAGACCTATTCTTGGAAAGAACGAAGTGTCCTATAACCACATCATATATTATTTTTCATAGTGTGGCTTTACTTTTGTTTATACAGCTCTAAAACAATATAAAACTTAATGATTCCATTCTCAATTCAGAAACATCACCTTAGGCTAACATATTCTAAGATACGCTGAAAAAGGAATGCACAAACTGTAAAAAAAATTACTCTTCCTATTTTCAAGTACACATATGCATGTCTACAGAAGATTTTTACTGAAGGTTTAGGATAAAAAAGGGGGACTTACAGCCACAGTGCAGGACAATAAAATTATAACCGAATGTTACACATTAGTGAACTGAAAACCTACTAAGACATTATTCTAACATCTCACCAATCCCATCCTTTTAGGAGTAGGCCTGTTGCCAACTTCCAGGGACACCTACAATCCTTCTCTTCTCCTAAACTTTAGCAACTGTGATGGTCAACTTGGTTAGCTTTTGGTTTCCAGTTGTTTGCGTCAAACACTACTAGTCTAGGTGCTGTCATGGAGTGGTTACATGTGATCAGATCACAGCTGGCCTTGGATAGAGCAGATTACTTTCCATAACGTAACGTAATGTGGTGTGGTATGGTGTAGTGTAATGTAATCAATCTGGTAAGACTGTACTAGTGTAGGATGGACCCTAAACCTAACCACTTCTTAAAATTATAAAAACATCAAGAATAAAGAGAGACACACACATACGGGTAGACAGATGACATGTGAGGATCATCTATAAGCCAAGGAATGTCAAGGAATGTCCAGGGCTACCCACAAGGAAGGAAATGACAAAGATGAGACCTCCACTTGGACTTTTAACCTCCAGAACTGTGACAAAATAAATTCTGGTCTTTAAAGCTATCCACCTGTGGTATTTTTGTTACAGTGTACTATATAACTAAGACAGCATCCTAAACCCTCTTCCCTTCTTATGCAAAAGCGTTTCAGCCCTCCATCTCTACTTTCTTATGTCAACTCTGTTGACCTTCTTTACCAATCCAGTCTGGTAAGCTTCACTTTTTCAATATTTTCATGAATTTTAAGGAAGAAAAGTTGAAGAGACATTATATTTACCTGGGCAGCCTGTTAAATTTATGCCTGACGAGAGCACACTTCCCCCCACACTTCTCACAGGAATACTCAAGCTCTTCTGCCTATAAAAAGGTAAGAAGGAAAAATAAAGAAGCATGAAGCTGAAGCATCATTCCCTCATTATATGCTAATAATTTTTTCTAGTGTTACTAGTTTAGTGGAATGACAACTCTGAACCAGTTTAAATTTGATGTCTAGAAATATAAACCTTACTAAATTAAGACCTAATCCTCAAAATATAGTTGACTTATAACACAATGCCCTGTTTCAGAATTCCTCATTTCCCTTTTTTTCCCACCAAACTGAAGCAGTATCTCAAATTTATGATAGTAACCAGACTCTAAGGTAGTAGATTCTCAGTCTTTTCCCCATGGATACGTATGATCCACTGCCAAGAGTATGTCCAGATTTTAACATGTGGTTACAGCACAGATAAGGTCACTTTAAGGTTAGGCAGAATTCTTGGTCTGTCAGGTGTAACTCTACCCTTTTCTTATAGTGGAACTCAATCTTCCAGTGACAGCTCACTAAGAACAACTGCTCTACAAGGACCAAAGTTTGGGGTAGATATCATTACTTAGAGAAAAATGAAACAAGAAATCCTTAAAAAAAAAAAAAAAAGAGGGTAAAGATACATAAGAAAGCTTCAAATTCTGTGATTATAACAGGAATACTAAAGAATGATTAAAACAAAAAGAAAGCAAAATATTTATCTTTGGGTAGAAAAAACAGTATTTTTTTAGCCTTAGGAAGAGAATGCTGCTACAACAAAATAAAGACCATTATTATACAGACAAGGAGCTCTGGTAGCATAATGCCTAAGGCACCTGACTGCTAACCAGAAGGCTGGCGGTTCAAACCAGCCAGCCACTCAGAAGGAAGGTTGGGCAATCTACTTCTGTAGTGATACTACCTGGAAACCCAAGGAGGGGACATGACTCACTCACCATGGCACATAACAACAACAAGGACTCCACAGCACATAACAACAACAACATTATACAGACAAAGGGAAAGATTGTGGCAAACTTCCATGAGTTGTAAGAACTGCTATAGAACAGGTCTAATTATGCCCCCAGAAACATTCTAAACATCACAGACACAAACATTTACCACAACTTTGGATAATTATGAATCTTGCCTCTTCCTAACGGAATACCACTTAAAGAAGAGCAAACAGCATTTTTTCACTCCTGATTTTAGTATATCAATTTATATGTCTCCAACTTTAATTCACATTACCAGATTTTAACCTACATTATTTCATATACTTCAGATTAACATTTATTTACAAATAATGAGCTGTTTCTAAGGCTGTCTAAAATACTTGCTGTTGAGTTAAATGTCCAATTAATTTAAGCAATTAATTTTCTTCTTAAATGAGGTAACAATTAAATTTAAAAAACTTTTAAAATAAACATTATTAATAAGCACTTCTCATTTGTTTCCTCCAAATAATTTTGTTCAAACTCTACTCTGAAGAAACCAACTCCAAATATAATTACCTAGGATATCTAAAATTTAGTGAGAAAATGCCAAAGATATTAATTATTTACCCTAAAGAAAAGATCAAGAGAATCTTGAATTGACCGAGGAGGAAGTGGCTTTTTCCTTCGAGGAAGGTCGATAGAGAGGTCATTAAACTGTTCTCTTTTGGGAATAATCTCTCCACATCTGGAATAATAAAAGGAAACAAATGTCTAACAGTGAAAAACAAAATAAACACAAATATCCTTGAGAAATACTGTTCTCTCACAATTTATCAGGAGCTCTCTCAGCATAGTGCCTAAGGCACTTGACTGCTAACCAGAAGGCTGGCAGTTCAAACCCACCAGCCACTCCTGGAAGGAAGGTTGGGCGATCTCCTTCCGTAGTGTTACCACTCCCCTCAGAAACTATGAGTCAGGGTCTATGAGTCGACTCAAGGGTACCTAACAACAATAACTCACAATTTATCAGGCACTGACAGACTGTAAGTAGGCATAAGAAATATACGAGATTTTTCACTCTTACTTGAATTCTTACTAAATTAAAACCTCAACTCCAAGTGTTTAAGTACTTTCTAAAAATGCTAAAATTTGAATTATATATTTAAAAAAAGACCCAAAACTCTTAAAAACTGAAGTGTAACATACATAAAGAAAAGTGAGTGAACCAGGCCTAACTGTACAGCCTGATTACTTGCTGTTGTTGTTGTTGTTATGTGCCATCGAGTCGGCCCCGACTCATAGCGACCCCTCCGTGGGTTTCTGAGGCAGTATCACTACGAAGTAGGATTGCCCAACCTTCCTTCCGAGGAGTGGCTGGTGGGTTTGAACCGCCAGCCTTCTGGTTAGCAGTCAAGTGCTTTAGCCACTACGCTACCAGAGTACTTGCTAGAACATTATAAAATATTATGAACTCCTTGGAAGCCCCTTCCCAATCACTACTCCCTTCTTTCTCCCCCAAAATAACCATCATCCTGCCTTCCAACATGATAACTGATTTTTGCCTGCCTCTGAACCTGACATACACAGAATCATACAGTATATTTTAACTAGTCTCTTGTTCAACATGATTGTGAAATTCAACCAGGCCTGCTTCATATGGTTATACACATTCATTTTCATTGTTGTCTAGTAAATCTGTTTGGACATGCCACAACATGATATTACTATTGATGGGCATTTGGATTATTTCCAGGTTTTTGCTACATGAACAATGCTGCTATGAAAATTCATTTCTTTGGAGTACACTGTACATGTATAGGCACTTCTATTAGATATTACGATTGTCTGGTCACTGGATGTATTTTTATAGAATCTTAAACAAATAGGCTCAGAAATAAAAATATCTATTCCTGGAAGTGACTTTACTTTTTAAAACTAGTTTTAGTTAACTGGCTTTCATTTTGTCTTCCTATCAGTATTTTTAGCAATATTTAATTTTCTGCCCAGTTCCCTACCGCCACAGTTAAAAGCTAGGAACCATAATAATAATATATTCACTCTTTAGTCACAAATAATGCCTCTCTGACAGGCAGAATTCTAAGATGACCTTCACCCTTAAATAATCTCCTCCCCATTTGAGTATGGGTGGAACCTGTGAATATGATAACCTACCTCTCCCATGCTACATGGCAAAAAGGATTTTGCAGATATAATTAAAAGGTTACTGTATCAGCTGACTTTTGGGTTAATAAAAAAGGAGATTATCTGGGTGAGTCTGATCTAGTCCTACGAGTCCCTTAAATCTGTGTGTATAGGTCAGAGATAGAGAAAGTCAGAGGAGGTGCTTCTCCTAGCCTGAAGGAAAGCAAACAGCATTGTTATGAACTGCCTCTGGGAGGTCCACATAGCAAGGAATTAAAGGCACCTTTTAAGAAGAGTTTCTGCTGACAGCTAGCAGGAAAACAAGAACCTCGGTCTTACAACTGCAAGTAACTAATTCTTCCAGCAACCTTAGTGAGCTCAAAAGAGGTTCCAGATGAGAATGCAGCCTGATGTAAGTCGATTAAAGCCTAGTGATAACCTGGGAAGGGAATTCAGCCAAGCTGTGCCCTGACTTCTAACCTACGGAAGTGTCAATGTTGGTAGGGAAAACGGCAAGAGGAGGTTTTAGGGAAACATCAGGGAGCTTAGTTTTGAATATTTTAAATTCTTCGAATAGAGAATTTATAAAGTCTTCATATTTTAGAATATATTGGTATTACTATATTGAACTGCTTTATAATAATTGAAAACCAGTCAATTTACATTGTAATAGTTAAAAAAAAAAAGTATATTTGGCAAACTAGCTAAACTAACCTACAGTAGTAGTTACTTAGGGTAAAGTCTAACTATGTAAAACTACCATTTGAAGGGTAAGGTGTATGGAATCTTCTTTCAGCTGGAAACAATTCTACATTGAGAAAAGTGTCCTACAGAAAATACCTAATAAACCACAAATAGGTGGGTATACTACTACTGCTGGGGTGCCACAGGACCTTGTCTCTCCCCTCTAGACTTGATTTAGCCTGGCCTCCTAGTGTGTCCACATCCAACATTTGGGTGTTGCACAAGTGAAGTATCTGACTGATGCTGTTGGCACACTGTACCAGCCAATGCTTCAATACAGCCTTCTTTCTTCCTGTGCTGAGTGAGCCCACCACCCATCTCCCAAATATGACCAAGAGAGGTGGTAGCTGCCAGTGGCCACTGTCATCAGAGTCAACTGAAAGTTTCATATAAAAAAATTTAGTTGGCATGCCCACAATTCAATATAACACTAAAAAGCTTTCCTTCTCTGACTTTGTATAAATTGTGTTTAGAATACACATTAGAAGGAAGGGAAATATGAAGGTCTATTATATTATTAAGTGCTGGCTCTAGGGGAGGACAAGGAAGGTCCTTGTCTCTTATGAGCGTCTGTTCTTAGATGACCTTCATCTGGCTTGGCATCTTCACTTCCCCCAACTCTGCTTGTAGCTCACTTGTTTCACCTCTTTATATCCCAAGAGAGAGTGACTCAAAACACACACCACACTAAGCCTGCCTTATCAACATAACAAACACAACCCATTCCCAAATGAGATTATACCCACAGGCATAGAGATTAGGATTTACAACACATATCTTTTGGGGACACAATTCAATCTATAAGAGAAAGCAAGAAATGTCACAGATGAGTAATGCAAAATAACTGTCCTTAAAGCATTCACTTGAGCATTCAAAATTCTAGGCAAGAATATGAAAACATTACAGCTGGGAGAGGCCTTAGTAGACACTATCATTCTGAGCAGGCTAAGAAAAACAGATAGGTAAAACAGAGAATGGAGAGCCAATATATGGATTTTGAGTATTTCTAAACAAAATTCCAAATTTTTAGATGAAAATGCCCTATCATGTAAAGGCAAAACTTAAAAGGTGTCCAATATTTAGATGTAAATCAATGAAATTGTGAATTTCAAAAAAGACAAACAGAAAGACAGATAGCAAGCAAGCAAACTAGCCACAGATTTTCAGGAAGAAAAGATTACCCTCAAAATCAGGTTTCTCTCAAGTGTCACAGGGTAAAAGGATACAATGGGACAACATATATAATATGTTAAGGGGAAGAGGCTTTGTGTCACTCAGTAATGCTGCATTAAGTCATGAAAGCCACAGAAAACATTTTCACTTACATACACTTCAGAGATGTGCTACAGATGACTACAAGAAATAAGAAGTGCATGGTACAGAAATCCTGATGATGAGCACAGAAAGGTATTAAACACAGAAAGAAAGTCTGAATTGTAAACACAGTTAAACAGCACTGCAAACATAAAAATAATTCAAATTTTAATCTGTTTTTTTAACCTTTTAGTAAAAAGAATTTGTTTCAACAAAATAAACAATTAGTACAAAGAGGTCTTTTTAGGGAAAATGTAAGATAAAAATCTGTATTTCCAAACAACTTGATATTTCATATATGATTAAAAAACAAAAGAAACCCCAAACTGTGTATCAAAATTAACTATTCAGTCAGCACTAAAACATATGACAAAGTATTTACGTTCTCCTTAATCTCACCTCACTGAGCATTTTTACACAGATACTGAAAATAGATGTTTGGAATACTTTATGAATTTGTTTTCCCCATAACATAGGAAGGCAGATGAGCTAAGAATAATTCTTACCTTTTGGTATGGCTCAGAAGAGTTTTAATCACCTGCCATAAAGAATTAAAATGGAAAACAAGTTTTCATAGAAACCACTTACACTTTACAAATGATGGAGTGTTGAACCTCAAACTCCAAGTTAGTAATAACAGGACAAGTAAACACTCTGGTGGCTGAAATATCTGGTGAATTTTCTTCTCCAGGGATAGGTTCAGTCTTCCAAGTTTTATTTAATTTTTCCATATCCTCTTTCAGTTGGTCTAAACACTGACTTAAAAATTCATGGGCATCCTAAGAAGGCAATAACATCCTCAATCAGATCAAAACATTTCTTGTCATGATAACAGCTCATTAACTGTGATTTCTATGACTTAAACACTTGAAATATAATGACATATGGGAACAGGTCAGATTTATTCTAAATGAAATTGGATGATGGATTTTATATTCTTAACTATCAGCTGAATTAGCAGGAATTAATTAATTACACTTTGCTTAAAAAAAAAAAGTTATTTTTCTAAAATAGCCTTTGGGGTAAAACAGCCCAAGTACCTAAAACGGGAAATCATGCCTAGATTAGTAAAACATGATACAATGCAGAGAAGGGTCACACTGAACCTTAGGGTAGCTCCCTAGGTTTTTCAATTCGAGACAAATACATATACAGAACCTCTCATTTAAGAACAAAAACCAGGTAGCACATTAAATCATTTCAATTTCCCTTAGCTCTAAAGTGTCTGAAAACAATTAGTACTCACATTCTGCATATAACCAGAAAATCTCTCTGCTGTAGCTGAAATGGCATTTTTCACCTTCTTGAGTAAATCTTTTTTGGTCTCTGAATTACAGATATCTTTTTTAACAAGCAAGTGTGCAAAGCGTCTGGTAAAAGGAAAGACACAAAGAACGCATGTTTTACAGAACATATAAATTACTAACAATGGCACATAAAATTTTAAATATCTAGAATCCATTATTCTATAATCAATGAGGTAAAAGGGTACTCAAGTATCCAATAATTACCTGAGAAGTGCATTGAGTGGAATTTTCTTCCAAGGGATACCTTGCTTAAGCAAATCATTTGCAAATGACTGGAGTGAAAACAGAGACTGTAAAATAGCATTCATATAGCAGGTATTTCCCAAATTGGAAAAGCTGAAATTGAAAGAAATAGTACTTTAGAAGACAACAGCAGTTCCTGAAGTATGTTCAGTACAGCAGAGTTCTCACACTTTGGTATGCATCACAATCGCCTAGAGGGCTTATTAAAATATATATTCTTTGGCTCTACTCTCAGAGTTTCTAACTTAGTATTACCATGTTGTTGTTGTTATTTGCCATGGAGTCGGCCTGACTCATAGCGACCCCTCCTTGGGTTTCTGAGGCAGTATCACTACGGAACTAGGAATGCCCAACCTTCCTTCCGAAGAGTGGCTGGTGGGTTTGAACCGCCAGCCTTGTGGTTAGCAGTCAAGTGCCTTAGGCACTATGCTACCAGAGCTCCTAGTATTACCATAGAGGGCACAAAAATGTGCATTTCTAACAAGTTCCCTGATTATGTGACACTACAGGTCTGGGGCCACCTTTTAAGAACCACTGTACTACATATAGTGCATTATAACAACAGTTTAGTGTAACTGAAAATTACAATTTTCAAATAAATGCAAAACAGGTCTGGGGGGCTTACCCAAGCAGCTATTCACTCTTTTCACAATTTAAATTTTTCCACTGAAATAAAACTTATAGCTTAATAAATTTTTATATACATACTTGCTATTAATATTCCCTATCTCCTACTATTGTTGAAGAGTATATGTGCTTTTATTTTCACTCCTTGTTACTTTTATGGGTTTTTGTTTGCTTTTTAGAGGATACATGAAGAAAATCAGAATTGGCAGCTTCCATTATCCTCTGGACCTACCAGGTCTCTCCTCAGTGTTGTTTTTTGTTAAAGAGTTTTATAGTCTTGTAAGGGAGCTCTGGATGCACAGTGGTTAAAGCCGTTGGATGCTAACCAAAAGAATGACAGTTCGAACCTATCAGAACTCGTGGAAGATAGACATGGCAGTCTGCTTCCATAAAGATTTATAGCCTTGGAAACCCTATAGGGCAATTCTAGTCTGTTCTATAGGATTGCTATGAGTCAGAATCAACTCTATGGCAGTGGGTTTTGGTCTGGTTAGCCTTGGACACTTGCTGTAATTCCTAGAAGGACGACAACCAAAAGGAAAGCAGTGATCCTAGAAATGGGCATAGGCACTGCACAGAAATAAAAGAATCACTGGAGGGACAGGGAGTCTTGGAGCACAAAGGGTGGGCACCTGAAGAGGTTATCAAAAGACTCTGAAGGGAATAAATGACGAAGACCAGAAGCAGACCATAAAATACACGAAAGGAAGCAAAAGGAAAATGAGACAATTAAGACCAAAGTAGACAGATACACAAGACCTGGATGTAGAATGGTCCAAAAATGGGACAGATAGGTCCAACCTTCCTTCCGAGTGGCTGGTGGGTTTGAACCGCTAGCCTTCTGGTTAGCAGTCGAGTGCCTTGCCACTACGCTACCAGAGATAGCAACATAATAAATTGAGACAGGCCAATCAGAATGAAGAAAGGAAATTAAGTATTAAATGTGAAAGCAAAGTAAAAGATGGACTAGAAAAAGATAAGGATCAAATAAATCAACAGGTAAGCAGAGAAAAGTGAAATGCTTTCACTGCAAATTTTATGTTATTTTCTGTTAACATATTAAGCGTATAAATGATTATGGATAGGCAAAATAGGCAGATACCACACATTTAGGTATAGAGGCAAGTGTGACGGTGGTATAAAACAATAATTTCAATGAGATTAAAAAAAAAAAAAAAAAAACTGGTAGATTTGGGTCAGAAGGAAGACTGGGCCATCCACTTCTGCAGTGATATTGCCTCAGAAACCCAAGGAGGGGTCGCTATGATTGGATCCAACTCAACAGCAGTGAATATGGTTTTTGAGTTTGATAGATATAGGAGGGGAGCTCGATTTGGTAATAAGAAAAAAAATGTAAAGTACCTTCCTTAGTCTTAGCAATTCTACTTCCAAAAATCTGCCCTACAGAAAAGTTTCAACAAGTATTAAAAACATGTGTAGACATGTATGTGGGTGCTCAGGTGGTGTAGTGCCTAAGGCATGTGACTGCTAACCAGAAGGCTGGTGGTTCAAACCCATCAGCCACTCCTCAGAAGGAAGACTGGGTAACCTACTGCCGTAGAGATACTGCCTCAGAAACCCAAGGAGGAGTCGCCATGAGTCAGTGAATATGTGTGTGTGTGAATACGTATATATGTGTATGTTTGTTGAGTATTTTTTTTAAATGTACGTACGTACATACACATATATACGTATATACGTATTCACACACACACACACACACATTTACTGTAGTGTCAAATTTAACTGTGAAAAAAGGAAAACCAAAATCAACATGGTTTAAAGTTTAAAGTTCTATGTATTTACATATGAAGAAGATGCCCAGAGTTCATGTGGAGTGAAAAAATCAGGGAACAGAGTAGCAGTTGAGCATAGTGGTTGGTTGAGAATGCAACTGAAGTTCAACTGCCTCAATTTATTGGTGCTTTATTACTGACTGTACCACCTTAATTTACATCTTTAGGCCTTAATTACTTTATCTACACAAGGAGATTTCTAATACACCTACCTCATAGACCTGTTGAGAGGAACTGAAGAAAAATAACCTCTGTAAACCCTTAGCACAAAGTATCTGGCACAAAAGTGCTTTATGTACAATACTTACTATTATTATTAGTTACCATATTATGATCTGATTTTTGTATGGTTAATAAAAATATAAGCATGAAGGGACTGGGAAAGATATAAACATTTCATATTGAAAGTGTATCAGGAATAGGTAGGATGAAGTATGTGAGCAGGTAGGAGAACATGTTTTCTACTTTATAATAAATACTATATATTTCAAAACTCAAAAATTGGAGACCAGAAAATGTATTTAACATTACTTATGGATAAGTCATAAGCTTAAATAAGTGAGCTCATCTCCATGTATTTTAAACACTATTCTTTACACCGAGCTAAATACACTTCAGTTAACTCACTTTATAAAAATAAAGCAAAATAAAATAATTTACCTACCCCTGCAGTTGTTGCTGTGGGTGAGAGGAAAGGGGAACTCTTGGTTTGTTCCAGCCAGTATAATCCTGGTTAAATCTCAGTTTTTTAACAGAAAGAGGGGCTGGCTGAGGAAGAAACCCCAAACTTCTTTTGGCAGAGGGAGTTTGGCTTGAAACATTGGTTCTATTAAAAAAAAAAAAAGGAAAATGAAGAAGCCAATTTTGAATGCTTTTTTTCCTCCTAGTAGATTCAGAGAGTGGATATAACGAGATCATAGAGTATCTTTCCTTTCCTAACTGACTTATTTCACTCAGTATGATGTTTTCAAGGTTCATTGATGTTGTGGCACACATCAGGACTTCATCTCTCTTTACGGCTGATACTACTCCATGGTATGTGTATACCACATTTATTTATCAACCTATCTCTAATGGACATTTTCCACTATGAAAATGGTGTGATCGATGCATCTGACCTCCTCCAATTTCATAAGGGGGAAAGAATCACTACCTGCATCAGGCTAAAGCTGATTTCTATGAAGCAAAGGTCAGACACACCTCCTCTCCAACCTTTTAACCAATTCTGACACAAACCATCTCTCTCACAGCACATCTGCTTCTCTGGTGGGTTTGATAATCGCTTGCAATGGCTACACAGACCTGAAATATAACACATGTGATCACGGGGTTCATTAGGGAATTAACAGTTACCATTATGGATCAGGAACAACTCAGGATACAGTTCTTTGGTCAGGACAGCTTCTCAGGCATGACCACAGAGAGTTATCTCCCTGGCCCCTAGCCCTCTTGGACTGGTTCACCCTTGGCTCTGTGTGGACAAGTATTACCAAGTTCTTTAGCACCACTGTAACTGCCCAAAGGACCCTACTTTGCTAGCAAGCCTCTTGCCTGAAGGTGCTCAGCTAGGCCAGGAAGCCCACTGCACTGTCTCCTTGTTCACCTCCTGCCATTTCTCTGCCACTGCTTTTTGTTATCGCTGGTGTTATAGCTCTATCAAAGAGATTCTCAGAACAGGAATCCTGGGTCCAAAGGACATGATCTACTCTAGCTCTTCTTTCTTGATGGTAGTGAGGTGCCCCCTTTCCACCTCTGGGATGGCTAAATGGACTAATCCCCTCATTCAGGTTCCATACACCTTATTGGCATGGTTCCAACCCTGCCAAGTGTGCCATGTACCTTATTTGCATTATTAGCAAGCTATCCGATTGTCGTGGTGGGTTACAAGCACCTTATTTGCACAGCCACCCAGTGATTTGATGACAGTAACAAGAACATGGAGAAAAATTGCATATAAAAGCAATCCAACACATCATATTCATCTTTTGGCTATTATGCACAGTGCTGCAATGAACACTGGTACATAAGTTTGCATTTCTGTCTTTAATTCTTTTAGGTATGTACACCTAGAATAGGGACTAACAGGACATATGGTAGTTCTATGTTCAACTTATAACTCATAGCGACCCCTCCTTGGGTTTCCGAGGCAGTATCTATCGAAGTAGATTGCCCAAGCTTCCTTCTGAGGAGTGGCTGGTGGGTTTGAACCACCAGCCTTCTGATTAGCCGTCAAATGCCTTAGCCACTATGCCACAAGAGCTCCTATTTTTCTCTCTAGTACACTTTAAATCTGTCTTTACCCATTATCTACAATGTGGATTTTTAAGTTTCTGTTGCTTGCTGTTTGTTAAAGAGGACTTCCTTCTCATCCATAATTTCTTTGAGTATTTTCTTGCTTCCATTCTCCTTAGTCTCTTCTTTCAGAATACTATTAAAACATGGTCCCTTGACTTCATTTACATTTACCATCTTATGTCTGTGCTGCATTCTATGAACATGCCTTCTTGGTGTTTAGTAGTTGCCTCAGACTGGCCCTCTAAGTTGCACAGGACTTTACATTATGGGTTAACAGTTCTTGCCCCTAAGCAGGTAACACTAACGCAGGTCCAAGTCATTGCAAATCCTATTTTCCTATTTTCGCTCTCTCCTCAGGGAACATCAGGCAAGCAGCACATTTGTGATTACAATCCCAGGTAGTTATACAGAAGTGTTTTCCCCTCGTTTACTAATGCAGCAAGCAGTTTCAGATACCCAGCTACAACTTCATGTAAGAAAAAAAGTTCTGGTCTGGGGTCATCCTTCCAATTTTATGTTGGTTTTGAAGCCCCAGCTCTCAATACTTGACTCCAGGCTCAGCTGTCCATATGCTTTATGATTTCAGTCTTCGTTCAGTATTAGTTTTCTCACTGAGCTGGAAATTTTCACCTTACCTTTGAGCACACCTTTGCATGAGAAAAGTTCATCTTCTCAATCACTTCTATGTGGAATGTATATGGTTATGCTATTAACCTTGAGAAGAAATATGTATTGTTTTTAATGAACACTTTACAAATGAAATTTAATGGTTCTTTCTTTTTAAATTTAAGATTTTTCTAATAAGCAGAAACCTGCCAAGTTTTCTCTCTCAAATGTGTATTTAGTTACCACTGCAGTCATAAAGTACAAGCACACAAAGTGCAAAATTCTGCTTTTCACTGCTATGTGGGGTACTTAAGACCGACTATTCCTAAACCTACAATATAAAATTCCTTAATAATTTCATTTGAATAATCAAGATGTTTTTACCACTTTGATTAAATTCGAATAAAAAAATGATATAAGTCACTAAACAGCATGTAAGGAACTCTCTACTAGTATAACACTTAAGCACTCGACTGCTAATAGACAAGTTAGCAGTTTGAATATACCCAACAAAGACCTGGCAATGCATTCCCAGATTACAGCCTAGGAAACTCACTATATAGGGAAATTCTACTTTATCAGATGGGTTCACTATGAGTCAAAATCAACAGCAATGAACAAACAGCACACATCTTACACACTGACATTACTCTCATTTTTTATATTTATCATCTCTTTTCTGTGCTGTATTCCATGATCACATCTTCTTGACAAGTGGCTGTTGGTTGTTGTTGTTGTTGTTATGTGCCATCAAGTTGGACCCAACTCACAGCGACCCCTCCTTGGGTTTGAACCACTAGCCTTCTGGTTAGCAGTCAAGTGCCTTAGGTACTACGCTACCAGAGCTCCTTGACAAGTGCTTATCTGAAATGTACTAAGCACTGACAAGTGCTTAGTAACTGTCAGATATTTACATCCAATAAATCCCCAAAAATAAATAAATAAAAATAAGCTACAGCTATAGAACCAGTAGTTACAGTTCAGATTTGCCTTTTCCAACAAAAGATACTCACTGACATGAAACTTTTGTTTTTTAAAGAAGGCACTTTATTCTTTAAAAATTAATAATTCTTTAAAAATTAATAAATTTTGGTATAGTGTGGAATTTTTTATTTCACTGAGAATTATTTTATGAACATTCTGGTCAACAATATGCTGTAACATATTTTGATGCTTGTTAGCCTTTTAACATTTTAAAGTTAGCTTGGCATACATTTTAAAGAATTTGGTTTTCAAATGTACCGCTAACACAATCAGTTATAGTTTACATTCCATTGTAAATAGGTCCTCTGCCACCTTCGGTTACCACCCAGTTAATATTCTGACTTGGATCTTTAATATCACATGATTTACAATGCACACAGCTCTGAGCATTTATCTGTAATCAAAATCCATCACCCTAGTCTAAAGGAGCAAATTCATAAACTCCTGCAGGGCAGAATCCTGCTTGGGCCATCATATATCCACAGCTTTCTATTTACAGGTATTTTCTCATCCTTTTAGGGTTAAATGTGCTGGCTGATCATGTTCATGATTAGAATCACTCAGAGCCATACATGTTATTCCATAGGTGTGCAATCCTTGGCTGGCCATAGCTGATTAGATTCGAGACTTTTATATGTTTTACAGTAATAGCTCTATTTCTCTAAATACACAGCAAAATATTTCAGTGTAAATCATCCCTCCCCATACACCCAATATTCGATGGCAGGATGGTCTCAAATTACTAACATGATTTCTTAAAACTGTCTTCATATTTAGTTACATGGAATCCTGCTGTCTTTGATTGGATAGTTTCTCTAGTTGCTTAAAAGTAAATTCTGTTGCCAAAAATTTCATTGTTGTATGGCTATTGGGCAATCCTACTTCCGTAGTGATAACTGCCTCGGAAACCCAAGGAAGGGTCGCTAGGAGTCGGGGCCGACTCTATGGCAAATAACAATAACAACAACATAGCTAATTAGTAACCAATCAGAAAGATGAGCCTGGGTATTGATGGAAAACCACTTTCCTTGAAAGCTCTGGCTCCATATGCAATTCTTTTTCCACCTTCCAATGTTGGTTGAATGCTGGGATAGTGTTTCCACCTCTGGAACTTTCTAAATGGACTCAACTTTGTAAATTCTAAATGGATTTTGACAGTCTCCACCAACCACAACGCCAGGAGTTACCAGGGGTTCACCTTCATCTAAATGGTAAGAAGAAACATCCTCCGTAAGTCTGTCTAAGGGTCAACTAACAGTGTGATCTAATCTCCCAAATTTCTACTTCTTTTGTTAAATAATTCATTAACTGCTTCAGTCCAAGTCCATAGCTTTCGGGATCACTATTAGCCCTCAAATAAAATCAATTTTCCTATATAGTTGCTTGGCTAGATGTCCACAGCAATCTTCTGCAAAAATTATGAGACTTAGGAATATAGTTCCAGTCCTCTTTCAAACGTTATCTTTGGTGCACCATAGTTTTGTAACCTTACATCATTAGTGTAGATGTACATCACCACTACCATCTTCAGAAAAAAGGACCTCAGTAACAGCATAACCAGGAACACTTCAACACCAAGGGCTTCTGCTTGCTTTCCCATCCAGCTCACTCTATGTCCTCTGGTACAATGAATCACTTTTATCTTACCTTCCTAGCCATGGTCTTATAACACCCATTAAATGACCAGCTTATTGTTGTTGTTGTTTGGTGCCACTCAGTTGTCTCTGACTCAGCAATTCTATGCATAACAGAACAAGACACTTACCACTTGTGCACCATCCTCACAGTCCTTACTAAACCTGAGTCCATTGTTGCAGCCACTGTGTCAATCCATCTCTTGAGGGTCTTCCCCTTTTTCACTGACTCCATTTAACCAAGCATGATATCGTTCTCCAGGGAATGGTCTGTTCTGACAACAAGACCGAAGTAGGTGAGACAAAGTCTGGCCATTCTCGCTTCCCAAGAGCATTCCAGCTGCACTTCTTTCAGGACAGGTTTGTTAGTTCTTCTGGCAGTACTGGTACTTGTACTCTTTGCCAGCATCACATCACAAAAGCATAACCCTCCTTTGGTCTTCCCTTTTCAATGTCCAGCTTTCACATGCATATGAGACAACTAAAAATACCATGGCTTGGGTTAGGCATACCTTAGTCTTCAACAAGACATCTTTGCTCTTCAGCACTTTGAAGTGGTCTTTTACAGATTTGCCCAGTGCGATACAACAACTGATTTCTTGACTGCTGCTTCCATGGTGATGATCGTGGATCCAAGTAATATGAAATCTTTGACAGCTTCAATCTTTTCTTCATTTATCATGACGCTACTTATTAGTTCAATTGTGAGGATTTTCATTTTCTTTATGTTGAAGTGTAGTCCATACTGCAGACAGTAGTCTTTAATCCTCATCAGTAAGTACTTCAAGTCATCTACACTTTCAGCAAGCAAGGTTGTGTCATCTGCATAGCGCAGGCTGTTAATGAGCCTTCTGCCAATCCTGCTGTTCTGCTTCATACAGTCCAGCTTCTCGGATTATTTGCTCAGCATACTGATCGAGTAAGTATGGTGAAAGGATACAACCCTGACACACTCCCTTCCTGATTTTAAACCCCTTGTTCTGTTCGAATGACAGCCTACTGGTCTATGTGCAGGTTCCTCATGAGCACAATTAAGTGTTATGGAATCTCCATTCTTTTCAGTTTTATGCATAATTTATTATAACCCATACAATCGAATGGTTTTGCATACCTAATAAAACACAAGTAAACAACTTTCTGGTATTTGTTGCTTTCAGCCAAGATCCATCTGACATCAGCAATGATATCTCATTCCACATCCTCTTTTGAATCCAGCTTGCATATCTGAAAGTTCCTTGTCAATACCCTGCTACAACTGTTTTTGAATTATCTTCAGCAAAATTTTACTTGCAAGCTATACTCCTAGTTCCTGATCATATGACACCTCCTGAAACAGATGAGCATCAACCAATTCTTTTTTGTACAGTGACTCTGTGTATTCCTTCCATCTTCTTCTGATGACTTTCTGCATTATTCAATATTTTGCCCACAGAATCTTTCAATATTGCAACTTGAGGACTCCGGAGATTGTATGACAGAATTTTGCAACACCAACGACTTATTCATTGCAAATACCGTTTTTCAACAGAGGCCTATACACATAATACACAAATCAGATCAACTACATCTGTGGAAAGAGACAATGGAGAAGCTCAATATCTTCAGCCAAAACAAGGCCAGGAGCTGAATGTGAACAGATGATCAATTGCTCATATGTGAATTCAAGTTGAAGCTGAAGAAAATTAAAACAAGTCCATGAGAGCCAATATATAATCTTGATCATATCCCATCTGAATTTAGAGACCATGTGAAGAATAGATTTGATACACTGAACATTAATGACTGAAAACCAGATGAATTGAGGGATGACATCAATAACATCATATAAGAAGAAAGCAAAAGGTTATTAAAAAGACAGGAAAGGAAGAAAAGACCAAAATGGACGTCGTAAGAGACTCTGAAACTTGCTGTTAAATGGAGAGTAGCTAAAGTACAAATGACTGGCTGGGACTATGCAAATAAGGTATGCGGAATTTCTGCAGGGGCTGCTAATGCAAAACAATGCATGAAGTCTCCTTGTGGGGAATTGGTCAGTTTCCCATTCCTGCTAGGCATAAAAAGAGCCAGTCCTACAGGTTGAGGGGGAAGCGCACTTCCATCAGGAAAATCCAGGAGCAAAGTATGTCCTTTGGACCCAGGGCCCCTGCACTGAGAACCTCCTAGACCCAAAAGACAGAGAGTTTTAACACTGTAGGCAGCAGCAGCATGAGGTTGCAGCAACACAGGACCAACATGGTACTGGACCAGGAGATGAATGAAGTGGGCTCATCAACCCACAGAGTGAGAGAGTTTGGGACAGGAGGCTTCCTGGTGGGGTGGGGTGCCTCTGGGCACTTACCAGCGGAGCTAAAGAGCTGTAATACTTGCCCGAGCAGGGCAAAAGCCAGGTTTGAGCAGGGCCCTGCAGTAACAGAGAAGAAACTGTCCAGATTTGAAAAAATATCCTGAGTTCTTCCTGTTGCTTCCAAGTTGATCCTGATCCTGAATTGTAACCTGTTCCTTCCCTAATAAATCCCATAATTGTGAGTATTGTCTGTGAGTACTGTGTGGCTACTGCAACATATTATTGAACCTAGGAGAGAAGTACAGTGTGTCATAGGAAGACAGCTAGTGTCAGAATTGGTAAAACGTTAGAAAGTGGAGGTATATCTGACCTCTACCTCATAGGAATCAGCTTTGGGCTTATGCTGATGCTGATTATCTTCTACCCCAAAGTTAGACAAGGTCTGATGCCACCATTTTACATGTCCCAAGAGCACAATGCAATTGTTATCATTATTCATCAGAAGACTAGGAAGAATTCGACAGAACTTCAGTATTTCTGTTAAAATTCCTTATTTGTCTTCTGTTATAAGAGTTTCAAGTAGAGTCTTTTTCTCCTTCCAGTCTGGTAACAGTTCTTCAAAAGCACATGGATAAAGATAAGTCCCTGAAAGAGTATAAGCTCCTATTTTTGAGTAGCTTTCTCCAAAAGACACCCAAGGGGGTCCTTTACATTTTTAGCAACCAATTGCTTTAGACAAATTGCTGTAGAGAGCCCTATAGGGTCTGCACCAACTATTACTATATCTGCTTCCTCTGCAAACCTCCCCATGTTCACTCCTTCCCATATTTTTTTCTTATTTTGGGGATAAATAGTATAGAGATTATAGGTATTATATAAGTTCAAGACCATATTGTAGCACACAGAGGTACAGAATTTTTTAAAATTTTTAAGGCATTTAAGCACTGATATTTTAGGCAGGACATCATGATTAGCAGAATAACATGTTCATAATAACCAGGGCCCTCTTTCCCTAGACATCAGTTTATTCATTTGCTAAAAAATTTTAAAAGGAACAGCTTGAACTAAAATATTTCTAGAGTGTTTTCTAAATAAAATGTCATGATTCTATGATTCTCTTAACCATTTTGTTATTTTAAATGAGGGTATTCACTGTGAGCATAATGTATAGCCTACCTCATAATTTAATTATCAAAGAAATTTCTTCAAGCTCTTCACAAAGCATAGAACCAATGCATACCTGTCTAGGTTAGTGCTGCCAGAAGAGTAGTCTTTGGATCCAGTTCTGCTACTATAAAAGGATGATGACTGTAAAGGTAAAAGTCCTATAAAACAAATGAACACAGGAAAAAAAAAATTAATTCCTAAGTCAATCATTCAAATTGATTTAATAATAAAATTATACCTTTTGGGGGGGCATTATACCATTGGGCTTGTCTGTATTTTTTCCTTCTGTCAAAGTAACACATATACATAATAAAAGGTTAAAATAGCCAAAAAAAAAAAAGGTTATAATAACAAAGTAATACCCCCGCCCTACAGTTCTGTATATTCTTCTGATTTCTAACTCTTTTTAGTTTTTCTGATTTCCTTTGTAGCTTTAAATAATATATTTCTTCTATATCCTGATTTCAAACGTTATCAAATGAATCCCTACATGAAAAATTAGAAACGTCTCACTTCACCCCTACGACTCCTCTCACCACCCAGTTATTAACTGTGCTACTTTAGTTCTTTTGCTGATTAATTCTGTACCTTTAACTCTTGAACACCCACTTCCTTCTCTCTCTTCTTCTCTTCTACAGATGTGCCTTAACTTCAACACTACTAATGCGTATAGCATTTTCAAGTCTTTTGTGTTCTACCAGTTGCTTTTAAAAGCTGAAAAACCAGTAAGTAGTGTTTACGTCATATAAGTATTATTTACTTCAGTAAGAACTGTATCAGAGATAATTCCTTCTGAAGGGCTCCAATGTCACAACTCCAAAGAACTCAAAAGAGAGTGTTCCTAGAGTTCTAATCAACTGGATTCTCTTGAATTATCAATTCCTCGAAAGCATGTCATATTTTAGCTTGTTTCAATTTAATTTCAAGTTGACATGTATTTAAATCCATACAAAATATTTCCATGTTTAAGAATTTCAGAGGGTCAGAAATATATGTAAGTGTGGGGAAACTGACAAGAATTCATAGACAGATCAAGTTACATTTTTTTAAAAAAACAAGGCAAAAAGATTAAATAACTGCTTTAGGCATTAACTTCAACATTTTCTCCTGAAGCTCCTAATAAGTAGCAACACTGATAAATTTTAATGTCAACCACTTTTAACTTCTCTGGTTCATTCTATGGTTGAAGTACTGTGACAATGACAGAATTCAATTCTATGGAAGAAGATAAAGACTAGATTCCCTGTAAACAGAAGTTGCATCATCTAATACTTTAAAATATTTTAGCCAAGTGCTGGGTACAAATAGGTTGGCCAATAACTAGTATTGAATTATGTAGGATTTCTGAATAATGTAGAGAGATACGCGCTTAGCTTTTTATTTCTGGTCTAATAGATTACAAAATAAGATAAATGAGTATTTTCATAAAGACCAAACATTTACCTGATGTCCTGTTCTCTTCTGACTGCTTCAAACTCAGCTGTTTCTCTCTACTGCTGGTTAAATACTTTCTTGAGTTATCTGTCATAGCCTTGTTGTTCCTATAGTTAATAATTTTAAATCAATACAACATTGTTAATACTCTTAAAACAATATAAAATACAACATCAAATACTGTTCTTCCTTTTAAATAGCTATCATTAAAAAAAATTAATTTACATTTCACATGCTGAATTGATTGATATACTTGAAAGTTAGGTTAGAAGGTGTTAAAGTCTCAAGAGGCTCACTACTTAAAGCAAATGAGAATCATGAAAATAACCTTTCATTACTGAGTCAAGAACCAATCCCACTCATGCCCCTGGTAATTAAGATAAAACAAAGGGGAATTTTCTTTATATAAAAGTCCAGAGACAGCAAGATTTCAGAGACAGTAAGATTGTAGAGACTTTTTTGGCCAAAAACAAGACCAGATGAAATGATTCAGCAACTAAGGCCAAAAGAAATTTCTAAAAATTATTCAAGCTTAGTACTTTTATAAAGTAAAATAAACTAACACAAAATGTTCTTGTAATTTATATGGGTTTCAAATAGTATTTACTAAATGGCAACAATACTTCAATTCATAGCGATTAAAATATTTTAAGTTTGTGAACACCTAAGTTAAAATTTCTTAAATAAGCCCATTTTTCCCCTCTATTATCCCCAAACATATGAACCTATGTAAGTAATGTCCACTCAGATAAATCTTCATGCTGTTATTAAACATGCTAATTTTAGGGGAACCATTATAAATTAAGCTTGAGCAGTCAACATAGATACCAACATCCAAATTTCCATTTTTATGTCCTCTCGTTCACATCCCCCAGCCCCAACTTCAAAAGCCAGAACCTAGGACTCTTAGTCACAAGACTGCCCTCAAGCTACTAGAGATACTTTGACTATACTCTCAGAGAGTCATAAGTAAAGTCAGGTACTACAGTATAGAAGGAGCTCTGGTAGCATAGTGCCTAAAGCACCTGACTGCTAACCAGAAGGCTTGTGGTTCAAACCCACCAGCCACTCCTCGGAAGGAAGATGGAGCAATCTACTTCTGTAGTCAGACTGCCTCGGAAACCCAAGGAGCGGTCGCGGTCGATATGAGTTGGGTCCGCCTCGAGGGCACATAACAACAACAAGACAACCAGTTCCCTTGCTTTAGATAAAGTGGAATTTACATGACAGATTCCCCTCTGGAATTAGGATGAAGCCTAACCCTTGCAAGACTTCTGTCTGAGATTATATCCATGCTTGATTTCCTGTCCTTCACTGTCTTGCTCTCGCTACCCCCTTACTGGTCTCTCCTGAAATTACTTCCTTAATAAATCATTTCCACATTAATCTCCACTCAGGGTCTGCATTTACGGAACATGATCTATAATAGCTGGTACTAGAAGTAAGCCTAGGAAGTGGACTCTAACATCTAATTTCTTTTAAGATATTAACTAAGGTACCAAATGATAACTTCATAGTAAGTTTTCTCCCCCAACCACTTGCTGTTGAGTGAATTCTGACTCATGGTGATCCCACGTTGTCAACGTGGAACTGTCCTCCATAGGGTTTTTTCCTTTTTGTGTACATTTTATTGTGGTTTCAGGTGAAAGTTTACAAAGTAAATTAGTTTTCCATTTAACAATTTATAAATAGATTGCTTTGTGACATTGGTTGCAATCCCCTCAATGTGTCAGCACTCTTCCCACTTTCACCTTGCATTCCTGGTTTCCATTAGCCCAGCTTTCCTTCTCCTTCCTGCCTTCTGAATTTTGCTTTTGGGCAAATGCTGCCCTTTCAGTCTTATACACTCTTTTTTTTTTTTTTTTTGCATATAATGCACACAAGTAAACATGCATAGGCTTGGGGGGGCGTTGTAAGGCTTGCCAAAAAAAAATAAAATAAAATAAAAAACAAGCTTGCCAAAAAAAAAAAAAAAACTTATAGAGTGTGCATTAGGAGCTCCAGTGGCGTACTGCCTACAGCATTTGACTGCTAACCAGATGGCTGGTGGCTGAAATCCACCAAGAACTCCTTAGAAGGGAGAGTAGGCAATCTACTTCTGTAAAGATACTGCCTCAGAAAGTCAAGGAGGGGTTGCTATGAGTATGAATCAACTCAACAGCAGTGAGTTTGGTTTGAATGTGTGTGTTGTTTGTGTAAAAATATGGTAGTTGAATGTTCTGAGGAGCCTGGCCCTCATGGGTGTTACTGTTCATTTTACAGGCCTGTCTAATGTTTGGCTGTAAGGTGATCTCTCCAGGAGTGGGTTCATTTCTAAGTTTGAAGGGTATCTAAGGCCCATAGTCTCTGGGGTTTCACCAGTTTCTATCAGATATCAGACCAGTAAATCTGATCATTTTTATGACTTTTAATTTTGTTCTACATTTTTCTCTCACTCTGTCTGGAACCGTCTATTGTCATCACAGGTAGAGTGGTTGGTAGTGGGAGCCAGGCACCATCAAGTTCTAGCTCCCCAGGGTTTTCAAAGACTGGTATTTTGGAGACTGCCAGGCCCTTCTCTGAGGCACCTCTGGTATACTTGAACCTCTAATCTTTCAGGGAGCAGCCAAGCATGTAAACCATTTGCCTGACCCAGGGACTCCCTTTCTTCTCCTGAAAACCCAAAACTCCTCACATGATGGGGAAGACGATCATGACCTCCTTATTGCAGATCTATCCCCTTTTGTTCAACCTAGAAAATACCTCTGAAAGTTTCATGCTCCTTGCCTAGAACGTACTGAGTGCTCATATCCTTTCACCTCCTAAGCCATACTGACTTTTCATATATGGTTAAAACATACACATACACACATACATACACACACACATATACGCTAAGAGTAAAAGGAATAGGAAAGTGTGGTAATTAAGGTTATGTGTCAACTTGGCTGGGCCTGGGTTTGAGTGGCTGGGCAGCTGGATATAGTTATTCCTCATGATGAGACTGGTAATCAACTTCACAGTGGAATCCACTGTGAGCAGCTAAGTAGCTGCCTTAGGGATGTAGTCTGCTTCCAGTATGTAAGCAGCAGCTTTTTTTTTTTTCCTTTTTGACTCCAGGGTAAATGTTAACCAGAGATGGGCAAATTACAGCCCACCAGCTAAATCTGGCCCACTGTCTGTTTTTCTTTTTTTTTAATTTTATTTTGATTTGGGTGAAGATTTATAGAGTAAATTCACTTTTCATACAGCAGTTCACATATACTTTGTCTCATGTCATTGACCAAAATCTACAATGCAACAGCTCCCCTCCCGCTTC